TATAAATGAATAGAGGTATTTTTGTTCTAAAGCTTTTGTATAAAACATTTTTTATATCTTAAATAGTTTTCGAGATATAACGGAAAAAACTCTTTGAAAACCGCTTTATTACATATAAGGTGATTTCATCCCTTCAAACTGTTTTTCCGTCGCAGTGAACAATTTCTAAATTCATTTTTTTATATAATCTATATGTATACAAAGTTCCATGAAGATCAGAATTTATCACTTCTTATAATTCTCTTTAGATCAATTACAATAAATCAGTAAATCAATAATAATCACATATGCGTTTCGACGAAATTAGTTTATTGATTTGAGGAACATTTAATGAATTTACTCTAATCGAAAACAACGAAGTATCAAAAAAAACATTATTGTGATATAAAAAATTGCGCAAAAAATTAACGTTTTAGAGAAATATTATATAAACATCTAAAAATCAGTAATCCTATGAATTTAATCATTTTAAATTATTAAAATTCAATTAAGCGAAAATTTTAAATTTGAACAAATCTTAAAGAACTTATGAAAAGGTAAAACGGTATTAAAAAGACTAGTTAGAATTGGACAAATGTAATAACGAATAAAGCGAATTTCAGCGGCTTCATTACTCAGCGAAATCTAGATTAAAAAACGTCTTTCAACACGATGGCGTTTCAAGATTCGTTTAGTCCTCAGCGGTTTTATTCGTAAAGCAAGGAGATCTCGACAGAATATAATTAACACTAATGGCTGCTTCATCATAAGTGAAAGAACTACCTTCAAATCCTTTCTGTCTCGGTAGAAACATGATTCTTCGAAAATGAACGGAAAAGATTGAGAAGCAAGAGCCGCGATCTCTCATGAGAATAGAGCATCCACTATTCTCCTGCATAGTACTGGAAGAAGCTTTGGCATGGTAATCGCATTGGGTCAAATCAAATCCGATTTCCTATCTCGACTAATGAACGAAGTGGGACTTTGTTATAGTAAAGTCCTTGCGCAATTTGAAAATATTCATTTTATTTTCAAATTAATTTCGAGAATTTATCGTGGAAGAAACAGTGTATATAATATAATATATTATTTGAGCTATTTGTATAAAAAATACACACACATATATATATATATTTTTTTTTTTTATTTTCTTATTAATTTGTCTCAACATATTATTTCATTTATTAGTATAAATATTTACTTTGTAACATTTATCATCACATCAAAACTGTGCGCGCACGCGCGCGCGCGCAAATTAGATACATTAATATTTATAATATGCATTTATATTTATTTCGCGGTATGTGCGTGATTGCTTTACATTTTTTGTTACTGCTGGCTAAAAATATATTTAGGATATATTTTTGAGATTACAAGATAATTTTAAAATCTACAACTACATAGAATAAGTGATTTTTTCAAAAAGACATTAATCGAAACATTTAATCTTTCTCTCATTTTTCATAAAAAATAATATTACATTTAAAAGTTGACACAATGTTAAATAAATAGAAAAAGAGTGAAAAGTAGAAAAAGAGAAAAAGAGCGAAAAATTTCCAAAGTTCCATTTATCGATCTAATATTGTTTGTATTTCACATTACTCCGAGAAAATATTACACTACATCCAGCACTTTATTTTCTCTGTTTCCCCATTAGCCTTCTGTTTTTTCGTCTTCAAGAACATTTTCAAAGACGAGAAGAATCGCTAAAGAAATTGACATTATTGTACGCTGTTGTGACCATTAATATTATCATTTTTGTTGCAATATTTTTATTTTATTACATATTTTATCGAATGATTAACTATCGTTCTCCGTTTACACATAGTTTTTTTATTATCTTTCAACACTTTTGCATCAATTTCTTTTGATGGATATCATTAAAAAAATAATGATGCGAACTATTATTTATAACATTTAATAAAAAATTTCAATCGTAACTGAAATATTAGAATTGAAGAATTTGAAGAGTTTCTTGAACAATTAGAAATATTACTAAAATAAGTGTATGCGCTACACAGTAGATATTTGCTTTAAAGAAGCATTAATATAATATAACACAAAAATTGAATTTTGAATTAAAATAAATTTATTAGTGTTGTATTTATCAAATCATAATAAAAACATAAAACATTGAACAGATCGATAATATGTATGTATATGAAGATGATGTTATGAATCAATATATAAGAGAATAATTTATTATCGATCTAGCCTTGATAACATTTTTAACGCAACCAATGTAAAGCAATCTATGGCTAACTGCATGTTGACATTTTCAATTCATCGAAACGATTGCAAGTTGCATAGAATCAGGTATAACAGTCGATCAGTAGCATTCAGTATATCATAACGGTTGCATTAAATAATTTACGTTACGTGCTAAACCGATGCTGCAACTTTAAAAGAAGTTAAATCCATCGAGATATTCTATTTTAATATCGAAATAAGAAACTAACGGCGTTGAAAATTATATACGTGTAGAAGTCTAAGTAAAATAGGACAGCCATCGTTATAAGTGGCAAGTTCGGCATTAACCATCATATCGTGATTAAGATGATTGATCGGTTCTGTTGAACACCCATATCCTAGTAAATGTCGAAGATAATCTCCGAGGAAGGAAGAGGAAGCATCTCAAATGTGACAATGAAGGCGAGAAAAAAGACAACGATGAAGTGAACCAGGAAGAAAGAAGATTGAACTTAACTGGGGTCAAATTGACTCTAGTAGGGAGTCCCTGCATTCAATATGGCGACTTCCTAATAGAGTCAGGCTGACTCCTTTTAAGACGTTCACCAAATGAGGAACCGTCTCGCAAAAGTACTTGGTAGCGTAAGCTTTATACACAAAGTTAAGGCTATTTAGTCATAAAGCATCAGTTAATTTAATAATACGGAGTGTCGTGAGCGAATTGCATGTATCGATTTATAGAAAATAGCATTGGAAGCTGATTTATAGAAAATGTGAACGATCGGTTGGATTTGTCACATAATATTAATTATATCAGTTCAGAAATAATGTAATCTTAGAATTTTATCTGTTTAATCAAGAATGAGTTTCTTTTACACCTATAGAATTATTTATCAATTAAATTTGCGTTCGTAAATAAAAAAATGTAATAAGTATATGTAGATTTTCAAGAAAAGGATCAGGCACAATAAGATACGCATCTTTTGAAACCTACTATAACTCTGAATTCCGACAGAGAGCTCAGATTTCAATTTCTCGATTGCGGTAATATAATATCGTATCAGATCTTCTGTCCATTTTTAGCACTGACAAAGTTTATGATGCATATAGGGAATACCAAATACTATAATCTCTTCTTCCAATCTCTCCTTTCGCTTCTACAAACTAATAATGCTTGTAGATATAATGATAATAACGAATAGATAATCAAAGAAAAAGTATGGAGAAGTAGAAAAGAAAGTTATACATATGTTAATATTGACTGATAAAATTTTGGAAATATTGATAAGATATCAAATTTTCTAAAAGTCGATAAAATATTAAAATATTATCTGTTTAATAACTCGTTTCATACTAAAATATTATCTGTATTTAATATAGTTTGTTTTGTTTGTAATAACTATAATGGCGGAAAAAATATTTTTACATGAATAGTTACATAAGAACATAGAATACATCGAAATGAGGGCGTGAAAGGACGCAGGCCTCAAAAACGCCGCAGTGCGACTCACTCTGCGGACTTCATGAAAGCAATACACTGTACTAATTTCATTAAAATAAGCGAATGATGCAAAATTTCAAACATTTGTTTATTCATTAATTACTATCAAATAGTTGCAATTATTGTATGTATTAAATCTAATAAATGTTACATAAAATTTAATGTTACATAACAACATCTGTAGTTCAAGGAATAAGAATTTTTCTGCATTCTTTGTGCACAAGAAATCTTAATTAAAGAACAATTATGAATTGTTCCCCCAATTATAACATCCTGAAAAATGTAATTACTATTATTAATATATTACTATTATTAATTACTATTATTAATATCTATATTGAACAATATTATATATAATTAATTACTATGATAATAACTAAAGATTATAATTATTTACACATTGGTCCTCATTCTATTTTGACTTTGGAATTAAATATTTCTTAAATTGTCGGATTATTTTTAAAATAATTGTGCGCGTAAGTTAGATGTAACGCGTGATAAATCGCCGCGTAACTATAATCCGGCGCATAATAATGTTCTCATAATTTCGAACATGAATGGACAGAAGCACACGTACTGACGCAGATGCAAGAGATGCGCGGACATGTTGCGCGTATATCGAGGAACATTAATTAACGTCAGGATCAGAGCATCAGATTTGACGCTTGCCATGTGGAGTATAGTGCTCGTTTATCCTTGCTATCTGTCTCCTCGACATAATGCGTATGTTCGTTGAGAGATTGAGAGTTTAAAAAACAATGAGTTGTAAAATATTTACGTCTTGTAAAATATTTAGTCAGAGAATTAAGATTTTAAGAGATAAAATAGAATTTTTCTTCATGTCTGTTTTAAAAAACTTTTAAAGACTTTTAAAACTCTAGAAATTATTGAAGTACTAATTAGAATATTAATTGACATGTTTTTAAAATTGCAATTAAGAAAAAATTATTTACATTACAAGGACCAATATGCTTTATCATATATTTTTTGTGTCATATACTTTTTGACATTTTCATTATTTCCTTGCTAAAGGATTTTTTGACAAAAAACACAAAATTGATTCTCCACTTTTTAAAATATTCATATGTTTGATATAATGAAGTAACTTATTAAATAAATAATCGTTGACTAAATATTGTTTGCATACTAATGAAATGTATATTGCTTGTAATAAAAAGTTAGTGCTTGTGATAAAAAACTATTCCTTTTATTGCACAATTATAAATTAAAGGAAAAAAATATATCTTGTATTAATTATTATCTTACTTATAAGTTTGTGAAATGATTCTTCTTTAACTAGAAAATTTTTCTTTAACTAGAAAATTAATGTATACTTAAATGAACTAATTTATACTTAAGTGAACTGATGTATATAATAATAGGAATCGCGTAATATGTTTTAATGTGTAAAATACTATTATCTATACATAAAATACGCTTCACATTATTGATTTCAAATTGTTACGTATTTGTTTGAATCGCAAATATATAATACATGGTATTAAAAAATCATTCAACATTTAAATGGTAAATAGTACACATCGTATTAAAAGTTTTAGTAAATATAGATCGAAAACCGTTTCTGAGATATAAATAATTTATATGTTAGTATCATAATTAATTTATTACCTCTTTTACTTGTTGCATACAACGTGAAAAGAGTGAACTTGGATAAATTGCACTGATAACTGAGATAAGTTGCCTATTTGGGAAAATTATAGATTCTGTGAAATGATCTCCCATAATGCCCATTTAGTCGTAATGGCTGCTTGATGTCAATTTACTGATTTCCGGCGAAATTTATCATAATAAAGCAATATATGGAAATTCAATTAGAACATTTAAATGCGGTTTGTAAACATTGAAGTAAATCTTCACGTCGCATACACATAGAAGCCAATAAATCAGTCGTGATATTAACATTCAAAACTGTTATATCTTAGAAACGGTTGAATTTTCAACCTATTTTTTCTAAGGCTTTTATTCAGTATGGTGCAGTGTACCATCTATCATACAAATGCTCAATGATTTTTTTTAACATCCTGTATAATTAAACATAACGCGTTTTTTCTAAAAGCGACTCATCTGGAGGAAACAAAGGCATTCATGATGCTGACATGGACTATTATTCATTGCATAACAAATCATTTCACTGAAAGGCACTAATTATTAATGAGGCCTTGGTCAGTAGTACAACATATATGTATCCTATAGGTAATGATAATACTTGTATGTGAGGCATATTCCTATATACACAGCGACAACGGCACTTGTACCATTAATGCTATGTCCAGTTTGCTCCGCAATCGAGCTTATTGTTGTACCAAGAGTACAAAGCATCAATACGCGAGGACCATTGCTGCATGTTATAAATTGAATGTATTAAATAGCGAATAAAGAAAGAAAGAGAGACGGGGAAAGAACAAAAGAGATATTATTTGTTAAAATATAAATTAATATAATACAGTAAAATAAATATTAAATGATCGAAAGACATGTGATAATAAAATATATAATGTAATTTATTATAAATATGTAATATAAGAAAAAAATATTACAATAAATATAACAATTACAATATATAATAATAAAATAATAAAATAGGATAATAAATTAATACTCTAGTAAATTAAGATAAAGATCTTATAAATATATAGTAAATTCATAAAGATCTTATAAATGATTGAATAATCAAATTTTTAATATCAAAAAGAGAAGTTATAGATTTTTCTATCTTACTTGAGATATTGTTTTTCTTTGATTTACAGTATAATATAAAGAAAAGGGAGGAGGTGCAAGAGATGCCACAAGAAGAGCCTAATCCTCTAATGCGAAAGAAGAAGACACCAGAGGAATTGGCGGCTGAAGCTGAAGCCGAAGACGAAGATGAGTTCACTAGTATGTAATGTTTGCATATTATTTTGATATGTATTAATACAAAATATTTTAAATCCATTGAATTAGCTTTGATTTGAAATTTTTGATATAATTTTAAATCTTTTTTTTTATAAAAATATGGAGAAAAACTTCAATAAGTTTTGAATTATGATTAAGAATAAAAAAAATTGTTTATTTTCAATCATAAAAACTTAATCTCAAGTTAAAACTACATAAATACATATAACCCATTTTATAAAAAATAAAAGTGAAAAATTAAGTTATCTTAGAAAAAAATAAGACTATAAGAATATAATAGTCCTTTTTAAGAAGTTCAAAATTGTTATTACCGGTATCTATATAAATTATGAAATATTTCTTAAGATATTGATATTTATTTATTAATTCTAAACTTAAAAAGATACATATGGACTCGCAAAATATGTTTGATTAAAAAATGTGACAAGTTTTCTAATTTTGTAAACCTGAATTAATGTAATTATTTTCTATAATGTCACTATTTGTATACATATATACAAGAGAACATTGAATCGTATTTCTGTAATATATATAATATATATAATAATAAAGAACAAGTCCTTAGGGAAATTACTCTAAATCC